TAGGGTTTAGGGTTTGGGGTTTAGGGGGTTTAGGGTTTAGAGTTTAGGGTTTAGGGTTTAGGGTTTAGGGTTCAACCCTTAACCCTTAAACCTTAACCCTAAGCCCTACAACAGCCAGCAGCTAGCCGGTCCCCAATGTCTCGCTGCGGCTGGCGCTTACTCTGCCTGGCCGTCGTTCTCCCTGCGGCTCTGTCTGCGCACGCAGAGCAGCTTGGTCCTCTCTCCGTCTGTTTCTAAAGATTTGAGGGTTTTCGGGTTTAGGGTTTAGGGTTTCGGGTTTAGGGTATAGTTAGGGTTAATTTGGGTTCAGGGATGAATTGACGTCTATAGGGTTCATAGGGGGTTTTGGCTTGGTCACTGAACGGTTCCGTGGAGTCTTGGGCTTTCGGATGAGATGCCGGGGCTGTGAGTCATTGCCGTTATGATCCCCATGTAACAAGGTGTATATTTACACTTATAGCATAGACACCTAAGCCCTAAACCCTAAACCCTAAAACCCTAAAACCCTAAAGCCCTAAAACCCTAAAACCCTAAAACCCTAAAACCCTAAAACCCTAAAACCCTAAAACCCTAAAACCCTAAAACCCTAAAGCCCTAAAGCCCTAAAGCCCTAAAGCCCTAAAGCCCTGAAGCCCTAAAGCCCTAAAGCCCTAAAGCCCTAAAGCCCTAAAGCCCTAGACCGCATAGACTTCCCAGAGTCAGATCTGATGGCCTCTTCTTTTGCTTACCATTCTCGATCTTTCATTGCTCATCATGCCGGCCCGCGATGGATGCATACACAGCCCCGAAGCCCTTTAAGCCCTATAAGCCCCATAAAAACTGTAAAACCCTGTAGCCCCTATAGCCCTGTGAGCTATAAGCCTCTTAGCCCTAGAAGCGCACCCTAAACCCTAAACCCTAAACCCTAAACCCTAAACCCTAAACCCGAAACCCTCGAAGCCCTAGAAGCCAAGTAGTGGGCCGTAAAGCCAAAAACCCTCAACCCTAGGCCAGTGCCGAGACGTCTCCGCGGCGAACCCGCTGGGGAGGCATCCTCCGCGGAGAGCTCGAGGCGATTTCGATGCCAGGGTTAGTTGGCTATTGGGTCTAGGGTTTAGGGTTCAGGGTTCAGGGTTTAGGGTTTAGGGCTTAGGGCTTAGGGTTAGGGTGTACGTACCTAAAGCCTCCAACCTCAAAGCCCAAACCCGAAGCCGACTCTAGAGATATGGATTGGCTTTAAGTGAGGGGTCCTTGTTTTTGTTTGGGCGGGGGGGGGGGGGCAAGTAAAAAAGGTACCTAACAGGGGTATGTGGCGTTTGGGGTTCAGTTTAGTGTTTCGGGTTTAGCTTAGCGGTTTGGGTTTTGTGGCTCCAGATGCCACGTACTGTAGGAAGGATTGTGTTAGTGTAGGGTTTGAGTTTGTGTTGATTTACGGGCCCCGAACCCCTAAACCCTAAACCCTGGACCCCAAACCCTAACCCCTAAACCCCACAGCCCAAAACCTAAAACCTAAACCCTAACCCTAAAGCCGAAGCATATACTTTGCGACGGACTTTTGTAGCATGGGGTTCAAGTTCATCCTTCAGGCCAGAAGCGTCCTAAACCCTCAAGCCCCCGTAACTTGACAATGGTTCAAAAGTATAAACAAAAAGAGAAACTTGACTCGAAACCTTCCCCGGACTTTCCCCGAACCCCCACTCTGTTCAGAGAGCTTTTGCAGTGTCCAGGAATTGATGGGGGACCCGCAACCCCCAAACCCACTCATGCCCCTCTCCGATGTTGGGGAGAGAGCCCCTAAACCCCAAACCCCAAACTCCAAACCCCAAACCCCAAACCCTAAACCCTAAACCCTAAACCCTAAACGAATTCTTAGGGACCGCAGGGCTTTGAGGCACGGTTTCGCATGGGTCGAGCTTCCGTTGGTGCCCGGAAACTCCAGGAAGTAAACCTTAATTTCATTGGCAGCACTAAAGTAAGCCGAAAAAGGGTTTAGGGTTCAGGGTTTTCGGTTTAGGGTTTTTGGGCTTCTCTAAATTGTGTTCTTTTTTGGGGCCCCAGAAAGTAGAGCACCTTAGAACAAGGACACCCCAGGCCCAAAAGGCACCAGAGTTTGGGGAATCCGGCTGAACGAAGGCCCTTGTCGGGGTTGGTGCCAAAAGCTCGGACCTCCCTCCCCCCCGCTTTCACCTCAAGCTCTGCAAAAACCCTAAACCCTAAACCCTACAACGGAAGCCCTTTGCCATAATTAAGGCCATCCCACTGCAAGCCTCGAAGACATCCGACTTGGAGGTTCACGGTACTTAGTAACCCGATTATAACTGTTCTTCTACCCCAATTATCTAAACCCTAAACCCTAAAACCTAAGCCCTAAACCCTAAACCCTAAACCCTAAACCCTAAGCCCTAAGCCCTAAGCCCTAAACCCTAAACCCTACACTTATACTGGGCTTCCAAGTACCCTGAACCTCCCAGTAGGCAACGACACCTGGCAGAAGCAGCTGGGTCCGTGCACCGGCAAGGAGTTTAGGGTTTAGGGTTTAGGGTTTAGTGGGGCTAGAACCCTAAAGCCCAAGCCCAAAACCTTGGGATGTTCCCCCTTAAAGTAACAGGCCTTAAAAGAGATGATCCTTGGAGGTACTAGAATCCCTCTTAAGGACTGTTTGTAGAAGGGGGAACATCCCAACTTAAACCTCTAATTAATTAAACCCAACACCCTATATCGAGCACTATACACCCTAAACGCTTGAATCTCCAGCCCCGAAACCGAACAAAAGCCCTTCGGAGAAGCACAGGAGTCGCCAGTGTCCCATGGGGCCCCGTGGGCGACTGCTCTACCAATGGTCCGTGCATTCGCAGTCCGAACTACCCCTTCAACTATGGCAACAGTCAGCACTGCAACATCTCCTTGCCAAAGCCGTCCGTGCTTCGTGTGGTGAACTTTGCCACCGAAGCAGGGTTTGACTTTCTCACGATCAATGGTACAAAGTACTCGGGTAGGTCAGGAAGTGGGAGCGCGCGGAATGTGCTGAAGGCTGGCGAGTCGTTCATTCTCTGGACGGACGTTGTCTGGTCATCAGACTACGATACAGGTGACAGCGGTTGGGAACTGTGTGTTGAACCATTGCCCTCATGCTTCGATGGTTTGCCACTAGCCCCGGTGCCGGTCGCGGATTGCCCTCGCGACGGAGAAGCATCGCTCGCAGACTGCCGAAGCGCACAGCCCGGCGAGCTGTGCTTGGGTGGAGCCGCCTGCAACACGAGAGACGACATCAACAATTGTTATGACAGCTTGCGCACTCACCCGCCCACGTTGGATGTCTACCGCAAGGCGTATGGCACAGCAAGAACCAGTACGACAGCAACTAGCACCACTATGACCAGCACGACAAAAACAACTACCTTCGGACAGATAGACCGGGACGGAGGTATATGGCGAGTTGCAGGTGATTGTTCTGTCGACGGCCTTTGCATTAGCAGTCCCAACTGGCCCTCTGGCTACGGCTACCATCAGCACTGCAACATCTCTTTGCCAAAGCCGTCCGTGCTGCGTGTGGTGGACTTTGCCACCGAAGCAGGGTTTGACTTTCTCACGATCAACGGTACAAAGTACTCAGGTGTCCCAGGAGTTGACAGCACGCGCAATATGCTTCAGGCTGGTGACTCTTTCGTCCTCTGGACGGATGTTCTCTGGTCATCAGATGGCATTACAAACAAAAGGGGTTGGGAACTGTGTGTTGAGCCATTGCCCTCATGCTTCGATGGTTTGCCACTAGCCCCGGTGCCGGTCGTGGATTGCCCTCGCGACGGAGAAGCATCGCTCGCAGACTGCCGGAGCGCACAGCCCGGCGAGCTGTGCTTGGGTGGAGTCTCATGCAACACGAGAGACGACATCAACAATTGTTATGACAGCTTGCACACTTACCCGCCCAAGTTGGATGTCTACCGCAAGGCCAATGGCACAACAAGAACCAGTACGTCGGCAACTATGACAACCCGAACAAGCACCACTGTGACCAGCACGACAAAAACAACTACCTTCGGACAGATAGACCGGGACGGAGGTATATGGCGAGTTGCAGGTGATTGTTCTGTCGACGGCCTTTGCATTAGCAGTCCCAACTGGCCCTCTGGCTACGGCTACCATCAGCACTGCAACATCTCTTTGCCAAAGCCGTCCGTGCTGCGTGTGGTGGACTTTGCCACCGAAGCAGGGTTTGACTTTCTCACGATCAACGGTACAAAGTACTCAGGTGTCCCAGGAGTTGACAGCACGCGCAATATGCTTCAGGCTGGTGACTCTTTCGTCCTCTGGACGGATGTTCTTTGGTCATCAGATGGCGTTACAAACAAAAGGGGTTGGGAACTGTGTGTTGAGCCATTGCCCTCATGCTTCGATGGTTTGCCACTAGCCCCGGTGCCAGTCGTGGATTGCCCTCGCGACGGAGAAGCATCGCTCGCAGACTGCCGGAGCGCACAGCCCGGCGAGCTGTGCTTGGGTGGAGTCTCATGCAACACGAGAGACGACATCAACAATTGTTATGACAGCTTGCACACTTACCCGCCCAAGTTGGATGTCTACCGCAAGGCCAATGGCACAACAAGAACCAGTACGTCGGCAACTATGACAACCCGAACAAGCACCACTGTGACCAGCACGACAAAAACAACTACCTTCGGACAGATAGACCGGGACGGAGGTATATGGCGAGTTGCAGGTGATTGTTCTGTCGACGGCCTTTGCATTAGCAGTCCCAACTGGCCCTCTGGCTACGGCTACCATCAGCACTGCAACATCTCTTTGCCAAAGCCGTCCGTGCTGCGTGTGGTGGACTTTGCCACCGAAGCAGGGTTTGACTTTCTCACGATCAACGGTACAAAGTACTCAGGTGTCCCAGGAGTTGACAGCACGCGCAATATGCTTCAGGCTGGTGACTCTTTCGTCCTCTGGACGGATGTTCTTTGGTCATCAGATGGCGTTACAAACAAAAGGGGTTGGGAACTGTGTGTTGAGCCATTGCCCTCATGCTTCGATGGTTTGCCACTAGCCCCGGTGCCAGTCGTGGATTGCCCTCGCGACGGAGAAGCATCGCTCGCAGACTGCCGGAGCGCACAGCCCGGCGAGCTGTGCTTGGGTGGAGTCGCCTGCAACACGAGAGACGACATCAACAACTGCTACGACAGTTTGTACACCCACCCGCCCACGTTGGACGTCTACCGGAAGGCAAACGGCACAACAAGAACTACGACGCTCACAACCCTGACAACCCGAACCAGCACGACAAGAACAACCATGACTCGAACAGCACCAAGTTTCCTGGAGGCGTCTGGGCTTAGGGTTTAGGGTGTAGGGTTTAGGGTTTAGGATTTAGGGTTTAAGGTTCAACCCCAAACCCCCAAACAAACCGAACCCTGAACCACAGCAGGTTGCTGTTCCTCAAGACTTGGCACCTCCTTGCCAGAGGACCTTTGTCCACCACATGTTAAGGCTTTAGGGTTTAGGGTTTAGGGTTTAGGGTTTAGGGTATGTGTTTCCTTGTTCTGGATGAGGGCCCTCGCATTCTTGTCTGTGCTACTATGTACGTGAAGCAGTGGACAGCAGTCTTGCTATCGGGTCTCGGACACCTTAAGCCCCAAACTCCAAACCCTAAATCTAACGGGCTGTCGCCCACAGCCGGGCACGCCCACAGCCGGGCACGCCCACCAGCAGCAGGACAACGGCAGCAAGCACAGCAGCAACAACAACAACAACAACAACAACAACAACAACAACAACAACAACAACAACAACAACAACAACAACAACAACAACAACAACAACAACACAACAACAACACAACAACAACACAACAACAACACACAACAACACAACAACAACACAACAACAACACAACAACAACACAACAACAACAACACAACACACAACCACACAACACAACAACAACAACAAACAAAACAACACACACAACAACAACAACAACAACAAACAACACAACAAACAACAACAACAACAACAACAACAACACAACACAAACAACCAACAAACAACAACAAAACAACAACAACCACAACACACACAACACACCACACAACAACAACAACACAACAACAACAAAAACAACAACAACAACACAACAACACAACAACAAACAACAACACAAACAACAAAACCCACACAAAAACACAAGAACACACACAACAACACACAACAACACACAACAACACACAACAACAACAACAACAACAACAGCAACAACACACAACACAACAACAACGACAACGGAAACAACTATGATAACAACAACAACAACAACGACAATAACACCAACAACAACAACAACAACAACAACAACAACAGCAGCAACAACAGCAACAACAACAACCACAACAACAACAGCAACAACACAGCACAGCAGCAACACCAACAGCAACAACACACAACAACAACACAACAACAACAACAACAACAACAAACACAACCACAACAACAACAAAACAAACACCGGGCAAACACCGTGGAGTTGTTCATGTTCATAAACACCGTGGAGGTGCATGGCCACACTGTGGAAGTGTGCATGTACAGTTTTCACGTTCGCAAACACCGTGGAGGTGTTCATGTTCAGAAACACCGTGGAGGTGCATGGCCACACTGTGGAAATGTGTGCATGTACAGTTTTCACGTTCGCAAACACCGTGGAGGTGTTCATGTGCATGATCGTCAGCACCTTACTCTTGTTGTTGGGGGCCAGGGTGCGCATCATCGAGGCTTCGTTTCTCTTTGGGGGCCCGGGGGGCGAGCATCAGCAGCATCAGCGGCTCTGGAAAGGGTTTCGGGCGGCAGGATTTCGAAGGATGCTGGCATAACTCAGTAACATGGCACTCGCCATGCGCGCACGCGCGCGCGCGCGCGCGCGCGCGGGAACTGGTGCGTTTTCCGCGCGCGCGGCGCTGCGCCACGCGCGCGGGCGGGCGCGCGCGCGCGTGTGCTCGCATGTCGAGTGCCATGTTATGGAGTTATGCCAGCATCCTTCGAAATCCTGCCGCCCGAAACCCTTTCCGGAGCCACTGATGCTGCTGATGCTCGCCCCCCGGGTCCCCAAAGAGAAACGAAGCCTCGATGATGCGCACCCTGGCCCATCGCCCGGCCGCGCATCATGAGCATCAGCGGCTCCGGCCTCCAGGCATGCGTGGCTTATAGGGGCATATGCCGGCCTCAAAACGGAAATGTCCGTAACGACAACCACGGTATTTACAGCGATTTCTGTGTTTTCCAAGCTCTCAGCCGCATCCGAAACCCAAAACCCAACCCGCTGATGCTCATGATGCGCGCTCTTGTGGGGGTCCTTTGGGGTGGCCAATGCCACCCAAAAAACATCAACAACGCGTATTTGGCCAAAGTTGAAAAAGAGAGTCGACGATGCTCTCCGGGGTCGTTTTTGGGACCCCCCATGGGGCGCCCAAAAAATGCGTCCAGGAGCCCAAATTCGGTGGGAAATAGCGCGTTTTTCGCGATAAAAATTGTACCTGAAACATGATGCCCTTCGGGAGCCGCGTTTGGAGCGGATGTTGGGGAGCCAACCGGGTCAGCGGCACATGCGCCCTTCGGGGTAGCTAAAGCAGGGCTGGCGCCTAACAGCGTCGGACCACGGGCGTGCCATAGTTGCGCTCGTCAGCTCAAAGGATGCCTTGTTTGAGCCTCTGTGAAACGTTGGGAGGGCAGGGGGGGGGTAGGGGGTGGGGGGGGGGGGGGGGGGGGTGGGGGGGGGGAGGGGGGGGTGGGGGGGTTGGGGGGGGGGGGGGGGGGGGGGGAGGGTGGGGGGGGGGGGGGGGGTGGGGGGGGGGGGGGTGGGGGGGGGTGGGGGGGGGTGGGGGGGGTTGGGGGGGGGGGGAGGGGGGGGTGTTGGTGGGCAAAGTGCGAAACCGCCCATAGTCCGTGAGTTTATGCGGTGTGGGTGGCCTGGCCGTCCATGGAAAAGCTGCCCGTACCCCCCCCTACCCCCCCCCCTGTGTTTTGGGGGGCCAGGAAAGAGGGAGGTTTTCACCTCCTTTGCCCATCCAACACGCTGCCAGGGTCGGCGGACCCTAAACCCCAAACCCTAAACCCCAAACCCCAAACCCCAAACCCCAAACCCTAAACCGTAGTAGGGAGTGCGCGCGCTCGTTGCCTAGGTGTGGTCTGTGTCCGGGCCATGCACAGTCAATGGAGATTGCGTGGAAAGTCCCCAAACCCTTTTGGGAAATGTTTGTGTGTTTTTCCCTTATTGGGGTTTAGGGTTTAGGGTTTTTAGGGTTTAGGGTTTAGGGTTTGGGGTTGTTTAAGACGGTTCCAGAGGGCTCATGAGGGTTTAAGAGGCGAGGGTTTAAGAGGGTTTAGGGCTGAGGGTTTAGGGTTTAGGGATACTGAAGAATACTTTCAGTGGGGCTTTTCTTCTGGGGCCAAACCTGAGGTCCGAACTATCCAGCTGCAGACTGGACCATGAGCCTAGACGGTGCTTGAGCACTCTTGGGGTTTAGGGTTTAGGGTTTAGGGTTTAGGGTTTAGGGTTTAGGGTTTAGGGTTTAGGGTTTAGGGTTTAGGGTTTAGGGTTTAGGGTTTAGGGTTTAGGGTTTAGGGTTTAGGGTCAAAGCTGCAGATGTTGATTTCTCAAAATTATTGGTTCCTACTATCGCTTCTTCTACCGAAAAAGGTATATACTAATCCAGTTTACGGATTATGGAGGGCACCCGAGAGGCCGTAATTTTAAAAACTGTTTTGGGTTTAGGGTTTGGGGTTTAGGGTTTAGGGTTTAGGGTGACAAGTTGTTATTTTTTGGGGACCATAAGAATTGTGTTCCAAAGGGGCGCCAAGAAGAGTCAGATATCCTTAAACCCCAAACCCCCAAACACCCCATACCCTGTTTCCTGCAAACCCTAAACCCCAAACCCTGAACTCTGCCGAAACCCTAAACCCTAAAGCCCAAACCCTGAGCCCCAAACCCTGAACCCTGAATCCGTAAGCCATTCCGAGCATCAGGAAGTTGTGCAAGATCTCGCTGCCAAGAGCGCACGTGTTCCATGTGCGGGAATTCCGTGCCGGCAACGGGTTTCTAAGGCTCGTCTTCGGGGTGTTGGGTTTTAAGGTCTAGGGTTTAGGGCGGCTCGTCTTGGGGGGCCCAGGGTTTTTTTTATTGCAAAGGTGTGGCTCCGGCCTGTCCCCCTGCAAAGGTGTGGCTTGGCTTTGGCTTGGCTGGCTCGTCTCGGCTTGGCTCGGCTTTGCTCGGCTTGGCTTTTCTCGGCTCGGCTTGGCTCGGCTTGGCTTGGCTTTTCTCGGCTCGGCTCGGCTCGGCTTTCCTCGCCTCGGGCTTGCCTCGCTGAGCTGAAGTTGGCTTGCTAGGCACGGCCTTGGCATGGTTAGCTCGCTTGGTTGGGGCTTGGCTCGCCTCGAATTGGCTTGGCTGGACTTTGCTCCGTGTTGAACCCCGCTCTTTTTAGACGTGCGAAGCTTTCTTCACAGAACATATGTTCCTTGCTCCGTGTTGAACCCCGGCATTTTGACGTGCGAAGCTTTCAGAAAACATACGTTTTCTGAAACCCATCATGCGAGCATCGTGTTTGTAAATGAGGGGGTTTAAGTCGTACGAACCCATCACGTACGAACCCATCATGCCAGCCGAGCATTGTGTTTGCAAATGGGGGGGGGGGGGGGGGGGCGCCCCCCCAACCCAGGCTGCTACACATTTTAAGCCGTACAGTCTTTTTTCAATCGCATGATGCGAGCATTGTGTTTGCAAATGGGGGGGCTGCGCCCCGCTCTTTTTAGACGCACAAAGCTTTGAAAGCACATTCTGTCTGAAACCCATCATGCGAGCATCGTGTTTGCAAATGGGGCAGGGGGTGTTTAAGTCGTACGAACCAATCATGCGAGCATTGTGTTTGCAAATGGGGGGGGGGGGCTGCCAACCCCCAGGCTTGTTTTAAGGCCGCCTCCCATTTAACGCCGACAGTCGTTTTTCAAACGCATGATGCGAGCAGGCGCTGCGCTCGGAAATGCTGCTAATTACAGTATTTGCGACCTCTGGACACGTGCGAATGCTGCTATTTCCATTATTTGCAGCTTCTGACCACGCAGAAATGCTGTTACTAACAGCATTTGCAGGCTCTGGCAACGCTCAGATGCTGCTATTTACAGTATTTGCAGCACTCAGAAATGCCGCCTATGCTTGCCGAGATCAAGCCCTCAACCTCCAGCATGTGCACTCCCTCCAAATTGTAATTATTTGCCATATTTGCAGCCTCTGAAAATTAGAAATGCTGCTACTTATAGTATTTGCTGCCTCTGCAAACTCGGAAATGCTGCTAGTTACAGTATTTGCGACCTCTGTTTACAGTATTTGCAGCACCTGACAACGCATACATGCCGCGATTTACAGTATTTGCGGGCTCTGGCAACGCACAAATGCTGTTATTTCCAGAATTTGGAGCCTCTGCAATGCTGCAATTTACAGTACTCGCAGCCCCGAACCAAGAACCAAGGCCGAGCCACCCCTTTGCAAGGAAACATGGCCGAGCCACACCTTGGCAAAAACCCTTCCGCCGGTCTTGGGAAGAGGTTGTCATTTTCGGATTAGGCCCTTGGGTTCTATAATCCACAATTCGGGCACATGGGCCAATGGCTTCTCTGCGCCCAGAGGCAGCTATCCCCAAATGTACTCGGAGGTTCATGGTACTTAGTAACTGATGATATCTGTACTTATAACCCAATTATAAGTCCCCTAAGTGTAGTTACCTGGGGGATAATTGGGTTCAAAGTGCAGTTATAATCAGTTACTAAATACCATGAACCTCCAAATAGGGGTTGGCTCGCCCCGACAGGCTCGACGACAGCGGCTACTCAGGTCAGGATCTTGCTGTTGGCAGCTCTGTTGCTGTGCAGTCTTCCATTGATTGGGAGCCGAGTGGCCACTTGGGTAGCCTTTTTAAACCTGAGTAGCTGAGTAGGTAACCTTTAACCTTTTGGGATTTCTATAATCCTACTGTAATTCAAAAGGTTAACCTTTTTTGGGCTAGGGTACTCAGCCCCTAAGAAACCCTTTTCGCGGGGTATACCAAAGCCTTTACGAAAGGTGAACCGAGTCAAGACCCGAAAGGTTGACCCTAAACCCTAAACCCCATACCCTAAACCCTAAATTTGAACCCTAAACCCTAAACCCTAAACCCTAGACCCTAGGCCCTAGACCCTAAACCCTAAACCCTAATTAGACCGTACACCCCGAATGACTCCACCAGTGAGGTCACTACGATGCAGCTTGGAGGCTGTGCCTGTCAGAAGCAGGCATGGGCCCCGGGTTCAGGGTTCAGGGTTCAGGGTTTAGGGTTTAGGGTTTAGGGTTTAGGGTTTAGGGTTTAAGGTTTAAGGTTTCGGGTTTAGGGTCTAAGGGCTTAGGGCTTAGGGTTCGTTTAGGGTTCCGGGTTCAGTCATAGTCCTGCTGCAGCTTGCTTGGGTGAAGATTTTCCTTTGGAGGTTTATCCTAAACCCTGAACCCTAACCCTAACCCTAAACCCTAAACCCTAAACCCTAAACCCTAAACCCTAAACCCTAAACCCTAAACCCTAAACCCTAAACCCTAAACCCTAAACCCTAAACCCTAAACCCTAAACCCTACACCCTAAACCCTAAACAGTACAAGGTCGACCCTGTACAAGCTTGATCTGCCCAAGAACGATGGAGATTTCACGTTTGTTCCATGGATGAGGATCCCTTTCGTGATGCGGGCCCTTATGTTTAGGGTAATATAGGGGTGGTTGTCAAAATTATAGTCCCTTTTTGGATCCCTTATATAATACGGCACCTCACATTTAGGGTACCCCAAAGAGATCATAATTTTGACAACCACCCATAGGAGTCGAAATAACTGCAATGGTATTAATTCCCTTCTGGTCCCTATTGTGTTTATAGTGGAGTAACCCCAAAACCCAATGAAGGCCCCCATAGTACCTGCCCCAAACGGGCCATAGCTTACCGGCTCTTGGTGTCCCCTTAAAACGGTTGTTTTGCTATTCCCTGGTTGCCTTTTATAAGCCATTTCCTTGCGATCAGAAATCCCAGGCCTGAAGTCAAGGGAGTCTGCTCGGACCCCTAAGGATGTAACCCCAAGAGGTTGCACTGAATACACTCCTCACATGGCCCTGATATCCCCCCAGAGGATCTTTGAAAAGGATCCCCAAACCCAAGAGTACAACCTTCGGGGCCAAAGGGAAAACTCCCGTGATGAAGACATGGCAAGGATCGAATCCGGGATCGAATCCGGGATCCACGCATGACGGACTGCCAATGGCACTGATCATTTGCGTCACCGTGCTGCTTGGATGCCAAAAACCCCAAACCCTAAAACCCTATATAGACTGACCCTGAAGCCCTAAACCCTTAACCCTGAACCCTAAGCCCTGAAACTGGCTGGTTCGTAGTAGGGAATGGGGGAACGGGGTACCCTATACACTCCCTTACAGGGCCTAGATAGGGCCCGAAATCCCTGATTCCCTACTAAGAACCAAACCCCTAAACCATCTGGCTTCCTAAATGACTCTCTGGCCCTGGGCCCTATAGGCCCAAAACACTGCCCCTCATACGTTTCACCACTGGAAGGGGGGGGCTCAGGCCTTCATTCCTGCTGCTAAAGCTCAGAGGCTCTTTCAAACACCCTTGCCTGATGCCCCCATGGCTTGAACCCCTACACCCGAAAAGCCTTCTGAGCTTATAGGCCCTAAACTTACAACGTCCTACAAACACACATGGTAGGGCATGCAAAATTCCGGTCCCTTTTTGGATACCCGAAATACGAGGGGCCGCCTTGTAATGTTGGACCCTATTTGGTGTGTTCCCCCCCCCCCCCTCCCCTCCCCCCCTCCCCTCCCCAGAACAGTCGAAGTTGGTTTTCGCCCTGTTTGCACGGTCCACGGGTTTTGTATGATTCTAATAGGGAGGAGATTATACTAAATTTAAAAGGGCAGCGATGCCCGGCAATTCATTTTAAAGGCGCACCGCGTGGAGTTTTCTTACGGCACCCGGACGATTGACTTAATTCAGGATCCCACCTCACACCCCCAAACAGTCAGGGTATCCTGAATAGCCCAGCAAAGTTGACTTTTATAGAGGGGGCGTTACTACTTGGAGGTTCATGGTACTTATTAGCCAACTAGAACTGTACTTATAACTGTACTTCTAACCATATCAGGGCGCTGAAGCGGCTTATCAGTGGGTTATAAGTACAGTTATCATTGGTTAGTAAGTACCCGGAACCTCGAAGTAGAGCAGGTCCAGCATGAATAAAAGATACCCCTAAACCCTAAACCCTAAACCCTAAACCCTAAACCCTAAACCCTAAACCCTAAACCCTAAACCCTAAACCCTAAACCCTAAGCCCTAAGCCCTAAGCCCTAAGCCTAAACCCTAAACCCTAAACCCTAAACCCCATACCCTAAACCCTAAACCCTAAACCCTAAACGACAGGCTTTCCACGGCAGCACTGCTGGTGCCCCCATTGTGCTGCATTGCGCGTGCCCGCAAGGCGGACAAGGTCGCTGGACCGAAACGTTTTTAAGGCCTCAGCGCTTCAGGGCGTAGGCTTTAGGGTTTAGGGTTTCAGGTTTTAGAAGTTTTTGAATATTAGGGTGAAGGGTGTAACCCTGAGCCTTAAGCTCTGACCCCTCAACTCTACTAAGTAGAGGCTTGCTGCCACACACATGCACACCCTCTGTCTTGGTGCCGATACCTTCCTCTAGGTTGGGATACAAAAGAAGCAGCTTCGGATAAGGAAGGGACCGCTACCCTAAGCCTTATAGAGCCTGCACAAGCCTCTGAGTAAGAGCAAACTTGGGGGGAGGGTTTCCCCCAAACCCTAAACCCCAAACCCCAAACCCCAAGCCCTAAAGCCTAAACCTAAACCCTAAACCCAGGGTTTATGATCTTAGGGTGGTTTGCAGACTGGGCTTAGGGTTTAGGGCTCCTCCTGTGTGGAGACCGCACCTGCAAGCGCTATTCCCAGCTACCCCGACAAGACTGACGTGAGTTTAGGGTTTAGGGTTTAGGGTTTAGGGTTAAGGGTTTAAAGCCCCAAGCCCTTTGGGGTATGGCAGGAGGAGACAGCAGGGGTGGAGGCCGTGGATCAGCCCACGCCAAGCCAAGAGGGCTTCCCTGGCAGTGGTAATCCCGAAGCGGGGCCGATTCCACGAGAACCTAGGTAGGCATTTCGGACCTCAGGGTTTAGGGTTTAGGGTTTAGGGTTTAGGGTTTAGGGTTTAGGGTTTAGGGTTTAGGGTTCAGGGCTTTTCGGCAGGGAGTTGACCTTTGGACATCAGGATGTATGGCTTCTTGGTTTTTTGTGTTTGCAAGTGTCTTCGTCAGGAAGATGGCCAGAGGGTTAAACCCTAAACCCGAAGCCCTTAACCCCTAAACCCTAAACCCTAAACCCTAAACCCTAAACCCATTCGTACGAGCCAAGGAGCAGCTGGACGATGCGATGAGGGCTGTCGTGGCATCAGCTGCCTTTGATGCGTTGGACCTGAACGGTGATGGCACCTTGGTCGCCCAGGTTTTTTTTTTTTTTGGGGGGGGGGGGGGGGGTGATGTTTTTTTGTTTGCTTGTGGGTTCCCTTATACAGTAAGCAACTCCCTTTTGTTTTGCTTCTGGGTTTGTCTTATGAAGCAAGCAACTCAAAAAAAGGGTGCCCTTATTTCAAGGGATAAGGGATGAAAGACTCGTACCCTTCAGGTTGTGCCCTTAAAGGTTCCCCTTACTATACTCCTAACATGGCCCGTATATACGCGTAGATTATTATAACATGGTTCCTAGGCCACCGAGGCACCATTTCAAGGACCGAGTTCGCGGCACACTGTGCAGCAAAGGGGGTGGCGCCAGCCACTGCGGCGGCTGCCTTTGCAACGCTGGATCTAGATGCTTAGTGCTGGTGAGTATAGGCATGGGGGAATGAGGTATCCTGTGTAATCCCTTAAAGGGTATATCTAGGGGGATATAGGGTATCGCATTCCCTCACTCCCTAGTAACCAACAGTAAGGATGCCGATGGCATCATCACCCAGCAGGAGTTTGCTTGCCACGTGCTCCAGTCAGGGCTGGCCCACCCGCACATTGAATCCAGGAGCCAGAGTGGGCCATCGTTCTCTGTTTTGTTGGGTTAGGTTGCCTTTTGGAGTACCCTAAGCCCCAAGCCTCCTTGAACACAAAGAGTCCCTGACTAAGACCCAGGAATGCCAGGGCACTTGGTTGATGGACTTGCCAAGCGGCCGTCGGACAACAGGCACCGTGGCTGGAGCGCAGGTTTCGTGCTCAGGTGAGGCATTCGTGCTGCAAGGGGATCAAGACAGGACTTTCTTCCAGTTGCAACTTAGTGGCTGAATGAGTACACTTTACACTTTTTGGGATACTCTCATCCCCTGGAGAACTGATAGCGTACACTTTTGGGGGCTTATGAACTCAGCAACTAAGGCAAGATGGTGTCTTCCAGGAGCTGACCGCTGCTGATGACAATGCGCTTGTGTGGAGAACTTGTGGCGCGTGGCCCCAAACCCTGCGATGGACTCGTATACCGTCTTGCCCTAAAGCACAGGGCTGTGCGGACGTGCAGGTGCTCAGCACAAGCACAGGTTACGAGTGCAGCGGGTGCGGACAGGAGCAGCTCACTAGGTCGTGCTGGTTTTGCCCCTCGCACGACGCGTTTCTCTGTCCGGAGTGCGCGCCCGTTCCCACGGATGCCGTCCTAGGCATCTCGGCAGCTTGGGTCATCGACACCTTCCCAGGGCTCGCGCGAAAAGCGACCGGAATGGCGAATCCCAACTTTCACGAAATCTGTCCAGCGGTTGCCATGGGGCCGCAGGGGCTCGGCTTCGGCAAGGCTTGCCCGAGAGATGGCCGACCCGGATGCAGCGTCGTTGATGCGGTGGACGACAAGTACAGGGGCCGGGCCACTCATTTCGTGTCCTGGTGCTGGACGTACTCCCTGGACGACTTCGTGAGTGCGCTGCAGTCATGGGTTGCGAAGGAGCAGCTGAATGCCGGCGAGGTCTACTTGTGGGTGTGCTTCTTCTGCAACAACCAGCTGCTTGGCAGCGCCCATGCGCCGAGCCAAAACCCTTCGTTCCGAAGTATGTGGGTAGTTCTCCAAATTTGGGCCCCGGTCCCCTATAACCTATACAGTACGGCACCCTTAAGAGCATATGCCCCAACAGGGACCCGAATCTAGAGAGATACCCACATAGCATGTAACAGAACCCCCAAAACCCTTATACCAGAGGGTTCCCTCCCCTTCAGTCCATGAAACCCGACTGGCTGGTTCTTCAATCGGGAATGAGACAAATGAGGGGCCCATAGAATCCCTAGGTAGGCCTTTGGGACATTTTATATTTTCCCTTATTGGGGTTTAAGAGGACCATAGTCAGGAATATTTTTCAGAGGGTTTGAAGGGCCATCCTAGATCCCTTTAAGGGTAAAAATAGGCCCCTCCTTCCCCCATTGAGGTATCGCATCGAGTCGGGAACCCAGACTGGCTCAGAGGAGCTGACTGGGCTCTTCGAGGACGCCCTGGCTCTTAGTAGGGAATCAGGGAGTGGGGTACCCTCTATAAGACCCTCTAAGGGGATTATGTAGGGCCCTCTCATTCCCCCTAAACCTTAAACCCTAAACCCTCATTCCCTGCTGAGAGCCAGCCAGGATCATCTTGTTGAGGCCGGTCGGATGCTTCTGATGCTGGACAGTTTCTCCGAGCCCAAGTACATCACGAGGGCATGGTGCATCTTCGAAAGCTCCTCTCAGTTGTGCTGTTTAGGGTTTAGGGTTTAGGGTTTAGGGTTTAGGGTTTAGGGTAGCCTTTTCTGGCTGGTTCTGAATAGGGAACGAGGGCCCTAAATAACCCTTAAAGGGCAAAGGTTAGGGCCCTCATTCTCTCATTCCCTACTAAGACCCGGGGGGGTTTTCGAGCATCCTTGGTCATTCTCATGGACCTTCTGGTCGCCCTGGTGAGAGCTGCGCCTGTAAGGCTTTGTGTGCATCGACAAGAAGCTTGCGCTGACCGTCATTGCGCCTGAAGCCTCCCGCGCGAGCCACATCCCTGGGCCGGAGGGCGCGCGCAGCAACTTGCACGATGCCCTGCTGGGGTTAGATGCTTGGTAGCCCAGTGGGGTCCTTTTGCCATCTTTTTTTGTTTGCTTCAAAAATTCCCTTTTTCAAGTAGCCAAACCCTCCCCCCCTCCCCCCCCTCCCCCCCCCCTCCCCCCCCCCTCCCCCCCCCCGGCCCCCCCCCTCCCCCCCTCCCCCCCCCCCCCCCTCCCCCCCCTTCCCCCCCCCCCCTTTCCCCCCCCCCCCCCTCCCCACCTCCCCCCCCTCCCCCCCTCCCCCGCCCTCCCCCCCTCCCCCCCCTCCCCCCCCCTCCCCCCCCCCCCCCCCTCCCCCCCCACAAAAAAAGGGTTACCGTTAGAAACCCCAAACCCTTAGACTCTGGACCTGAACCCTGAACCCTAAACCCTGAACCCTAAACCTTAAACCCTAAACCCTAAACCCCCAAACCCTGAACCCTAAACCCTGAGCCATGATGTGGTTACCTTGGGGAGACCCCAGGATGTGAGGCATGCACGTGCCTCGAACAAGCTGGACGAGGACAAGATCAAGAGGCTGATCTTGACCACCGTGGGAGCTGACACAGCTACTTGCTTATACCCTAAACCCTAAACCCTAAGCCCCAAGCCCTAAACCCTGAACTTTAAACTTTTGTTTCTCCACAGTTTCTTAACTTAGCCAATAATACGAACCTTGAACTCGTGTTGTTTTTCTTATCTTTTGTAGGAAGAATGAAGAAGTTCAACCATTGTGATTCCTCGGCTACTGGAGAAGTAAGGTTAACCAGGCAGTCCAGCACCATTTGCTTGAACCTGGCCTGTTGTTGAGCACTGCATGGTAGAGCTTTTCTTCGATCTTGTGGCCTTCTCTTTCGTCGTTGGCCACTCGTAACCCTAAACCCTAAACCCTAAACCCTAAACCCTAAACCCTAAACCCTAAACCCTAAACCCTAAACCCTAAACCCTAAACCCTAAACCCTAAACCCGAAACCGGACGCGTTCTTGCACGAAACCCGAGACGAGGAATGGCTTACTTTGGCAGATTCAGCGAGCCCGTGCCAGCGTGGAGGCTGTTCGCAAGTTGTCGGGTGTCCTTGGTGGTGCAGTTCCTTGCTAGCCCGGTGGTACCCTTTTCTTCATTTTTTGGCTCAAGGTTCCCATAATGCCCTAAACGTTCAACCCTTAACCCTAAACCCTAAACCTAAAACCCTAAACCCTAAACCCTGAACCCTTTGGGCTAGCAAGGTTCGGAGCAGAAGCCAATGGTGATGGGGTCCTGACCGGTCCACCAGAGTCCGAGAAAGGCCTCGAGTTGCATGAGCTGCTTGGGGCTTCATGAAGCATAGGTTTCGGGCCCTAGACCCTCAACCCTCAATCCTAAACCCGAAGCCCTAAACCCTCAATCCTAAACCCACAACCTACAGCCCTAAAACCCTCAACCCTAAACCCTAAACCCCAAACTCAGGGCCTAGGCCGCCCCCCCACAGAAGGGGGGCGGCGCTTAAGCGCTTCGACCTGTATGGCGAAAGTCGACCCAGGTCGCTTGCCCGCTTCCTGCAGTTCCAAGGTTACGATGGGCTCGAGGTGGCTGGCATTTTGTCAGGGTCCCAGGCCAGGAGGACCCGGACCCTCGCCGCAGCGTGTCCAGGGACCAGGGGGCCTCAGGCTGGTCCAGGCAGGGTGGGTGCTCGAAAAAGTGTCCGCGCTCTACAACCTCTCCTTTTCTATGCAGCTGAGGACCTAGCCTCAGACCTTTCCCTTGGCTGAAAGTGGCCATCGGTGACGGAAAGGATTTTTTTGAAAGTAAGCGATTGTCATGAGTTTAGGCCTAAACCCTAAAAGGAATAGGTTTGGCTCGGACGGCGTGGGGTGGGAGCAGAACTGCTCTTCGCACCTGACGAGGCATTGGAGCCGCTGCTGCATCCTAACCTTCACAGCATCTACGCCCTATTACAGCAAAACCCTAAACTCTAAACCCTAAACCCTACACCCTAGACCCTTTGCGGTCCCGAAATATGAAGCCCTCTGCTGACTGCTTTGTACAGGAAATTTGAGAATCCGCATTCTTCGCATTCGGCCAAAAGAGCACTTGGAGGTTCATGGTGACCTTCTCGCCCCGATCATAAGGGTTTAGGGTTTAGGGTTTAGGGTTTAGGGTTTAGGGTTTAGGGTTTAGGGTCCCAATTGTAACTGCACTTAAGAGCCCCCTGAGTCCTCTAAGTAGGTGATAAGTAGACTTAGGATTGGGGTTATCAGTACCCGTGAACCCCAAGCAGATCCGGCGACTGCACGTTGCCCACGACCTCCGACGCAAATGACGTTGAGAGTAGTTTTGAAGAGCTTCGTGGCTCCTAAACCCTAAACCCTAAACCCTAAACCCTAAACCCTAAACCCTAAACCCTAAACCCTAAACCCTAAACCCTAAACCCTAAACCCTAAACCCTAAACCCTAAACCCTAAGGAGCTGCGAAGATGAGACAAATTCAAGTAGTTTGCAGCCGCGATGCCTCTGGCAGCTTCTTACAGCGACGCGCCACGGCATGCGAAGACTTTAAAAGAAGTTGCATGGTACCTTAAAGGGGTCCCTTGCCTTCCTTTTGAAGGGTTCGGAAGTATGGGGTTTGGGGTTTAGGGTTTGGGGTTTAGGGTTTAGGGTTTAGGGTTTGGGCCCTTGGGCCCTTGGGTTTTACGAGGTATAGCTGCCCTAAGACGCCGTTGCTGAAATTCTGGTATTCCAGGACGCGATGCAACGCACCCGAAAGTTGGATTCCCAACGGGCCACAAGTTTCACAACTTTAGGGTTTAGGGTTTAGGGTTGACCTCCGAATCCTAGATTGAAGTTTAGGGTGTAGGGTTTAGGGTCTAGGGTTTAGGGTTCAGGGTTTAGGGTCTAGGGTTTCGGGCGTAGGGTTCAGGGTTTAGGGTCTATAGGAGGGTTAGGGTTTATAGGGTTTACCGGGTCCATAGGGTGAAGGGGGCACTTTGGGATGTAGGCGTTTGGGGACATATACCCTAAACCCTAAACCCTAAACCCTAAACCCTAAACCCTAAACCCTAAACCCTAAACCCTAAACCCTAAACCCTAAACCCTAAAGGGGAATGTTCGGGGCTGAGGGCATCGCGGCTCAGGTTTTTTCGTCTTTCGTGTGGGACGAAGTGGAATCCTGCAGGTAAGAGGGGTTCAGGGTTCAGGGTTCAGGGTTCAGGGTTTAGGGTTTAGGGTTTAGGGTTTAGGGTTTAGGGTTTAGGGTTTAGGGTTTAGGGTTTACGGTTGAGGGTTGAGGGTTTAGGGCCCCTGTTTCCATAAAGCATGGCCGCGCAAGCCCGGCTCCTTCTGGCCGCCCTGCTGTGTGGAGCCTTCGTCGCCGGCCATCTTCCGGCGGACGATGCGCATCCGACCGAGAGGCCGCAGCAGCACTGCCGCGGCCTGCGAGGCAAGGGGGCTTGAGAAGCACGAAAAAGAAGTAGTTTGGGGTTTAGGGTTTAGGGTTTAGGGTTTGGGGTTTAGGGTTTGGGGTTTAGGGTTTAGGGTTTAGGGCTGAGGGTTTTAGGTTTAGGGCAATATAGGGAACATTGTCATTGATTTTTGGGGGGATCTCTTCAGCAAATAGTAGGATCCGGGGTTCACGGTTGATTGCCCATTGTGTCACTGGCCAATGCTGAGGGTTACAGACGGTTCTACCTCCAGCCGTAAGCCCGAAACCTCTATAAGCCTCTAACCCCTAAACTTCCCTAAATCCTAAACCCGAAACCCTCAACCCTACCTTACAACATGAAGACTTGCGGCTACTGAGATCTCCACCCCCAATCGCCTGCACCCCTAAACCCTGAACCCTTAACCCTAAGCTCTACCTACTTGAAGGCTCATTTTTTCTGACTGCCTGGGAACCTTTTTGTGCCTTTTGGGGGAAAGGAGACACTTCAACGCTTTGGGCCTTGGTCCTACTGACCATACTGGCAGCTTTGTTGGTGCTGATGGTGGTTCTCATACTGCTGCCTTCCTTCCCAAGCATGTTCTGTCTGGGATCCTAACCCTAAACCCCCCAAACCCTAAACCTTAACCCCTTCATTTGTTCCTTTGTTGCTGTTTTTGCAGTGAAGTCCCTGGTCATGGTACTTGTTTTGAGTACTGACTGAAGCGGGAATCAGACTCCAAGGTTGGGGGGTAAAGGGATTCAGGATTTAGGCTTTAGGGAGCTCGCCTTCGGGGTTCAGGGAATCAGGGTTTAGACCGAGGATGCTGGTGGCCTTCTTGATGGCGTCGGCCGTTATCACTGGACTGTCAGTGTTGCTTTCTGCTTCAATGTTGCTGGCTCTTGCACTCTTGGTGTCCTTGGCGCTGTTGATCGTCTTGGGCGTTTTTCCGATGCTTGGCTTCGTGGTCTGCTCTGCCTTCGCGTTGGATGCCGCTGCGACTGCCTGTCGTCATTGGAGAAGCTACGTTCACGTGGTGGGCCCGAATCTTTCAGGCATCCGCCCACTCGTCGCTCGAAGCCTTCCCGCACCCACTCCCCAACTAGTGCCTAGGACTCTCGGTGGTGCCTTTTTGCCTTCTGTTTTGTTGGGGCAGGTGCGTAGGCTCCCCTAGGGTTTATAGGGCTTAGGGTTCAGGGTTGAGGGTTTAGGGTTTAGGGTTTAGGGTTTAGGGTTTAGGGTTTAGGGTTTAGGGTTAAAAACACTCCCAGGTGCTGCGGGGCTCTTGGGCAATGGAGTTGCCAGGCGGGCGGCTGACAATGGGCTGCGCGAAAGATGATCAAGTGGAGTGCTGCCAGGTAGGCCCTTGGGACATTTTGTATTTTCCCCATCGTGGGTTTGAGAGGATCATATTCAAGCCTAAGCCCTAAACCCCAAACCATACACCCTAAATCCCAAAACCTAAACCCTGAACCCTAAACCCTAAACCCTAAACCCTAAACCCTAAACCCTAAACCCTAAACCCTAAACCCTAAACCCTAAACCCTAAACCCTTAGGAGGGCCCTCTTAGGCTGGGGTCAGAGCTTTCCGCTTCGCGGCGATCCCAAAAGACCATCCTTGCAGTGGCCTGATGGAACCTGCCAGGAGACGGGTTTAGGGTTTAGGGTTTGGGGTCAGATGGGATGTCTAGAGCATCCCAGCAGATGGGCGAGTAGTGTAGGAGCCGAGGAACTTTCAACTTTATCTGTTAGAAAGCGGGAGGGTCAGGCATAACGGTGTGGCTTCCAGCCATTAACTGAAGGAGCATGAACCGGCCAACGCAACAATATCACCCCCCCACTCATGAGGTCGCTTATTTGGGCCCCCCCCAACTCCACACCCTCATCCTCATTGAACAAATTACCCTAAACCCTAAACCCTAAACCCTAAACCCTAAACCCTAAACCCTAAACCCTAAACCCTAAACCCTAAACCCTAAACCCTAAACCCTAAACCTCCGAGTAGCCAGGAGTTGGAGACAGCGGAGCTTGGCCTACTCACGTGGAGGACCAACCAAACCTGGCCAGAGACCCTCCGCTGGCTGCGCGTGCCCCCGTGCCCCCTGGAGCTAGAGGAGCTCAGGGTTTAAGGTCTAAGGTTTGGGGTTTCGGGTTTAGGGTTTAGGGTTTAGGTTTTAGGGTTTGGGGTTTGGGGTTTGGGGTTTGGGGTTTGGGGTTTGGGGTTTGGGGTTTGGGGGTTGAGGGTTGAGGGTTGAGGGTTGAGGGTTGAGGGTTGAGGGTTGAGGGTTGAGGGTTGAGGGTTGAGGGTTGAGGGTTGAGGGTTGAGGGTGGGCTGAAAGCAGCGACTATTTTCTTCAAAGAGAACAACCGAGTGTCTCATGCGAATGATTGCGAGTTTTCACTCTGACAAGCCTGGCTTGCGGCGTGGCCCTAAACCTTCCATTTCGCATACCCACGCCATCCAGCCAGATTGATTGCTTCAGGCACACCCTAACCCTAAACCTGTTGCCCTAAACCCTAAACCCTAAACCCGAAACCCTAAACCCTAAACCCTAAACCCTAAACCCTAAACCCTAAACCCTGTCGCCCTCTCAGGGTCTGCAATCAAGAATCTTGTCTCATCGGCCCAGGTTCCCTTTTCAGTGGCCTCCAAAGCCGGTTTAGGGTTTCGGGTTGAGGGTTTCGGGTATGAGTTGAGGGCTTCGGATTCATGAAGTTTATCTAGGGATTAGGGGGGTTTATGTTCTAGAGTTTAGGGCTAGGGTTTAGGGTTTAGGGTTTAGGGTTTAGGGTTTAGGGTTTAGGGTTTAAGGTTTAGGGTTTAGGGTTTAGGGTTGAGGGTTTCGGGTTGAGGGTTTAGGGTTTAGGGTTTAGGGTGTCCCTGAACCCTGAGCCTGAACCCCTTGACGAGGAGGCTGGCGAGCCGAACGACCGCCACCACATGCAGTTGGGGAGAAGTCTGGAGGGCTCCTAGGCCAGGTTTAGGGTTTAGGGTTTAGGGTTTAGGGTTTAGGGTTTAGGGTTTAGGGTTTAGGGTTTAGGGTTTAGGGTTTACGGTCCCCCAAATAATTTGTTAGGGTAATCTGCATATATCTCAAGTTATTCAGACTCGTACTCCTAAGGTTGTACCCCTGCACGTTCCCCTTGATATACTCCTACTAATATGGCCCTTCTATTCCCGGATCCTTAAAAAGGGACCCCAAAACCCGAGGGTAAAGCCTAAAAGGTCCAAGTAGGGTTTCGGGTTTAGGGTTTAGGGTTTAGGCTTTCTGGTTCTCAGTAGGGAATGAGGGAATGAGGGTCCTATATATACCCTTGCAGGGCCCTCATATTCCCTCATTCCGTCATTCCGTACTACGAACCAGGGGGTTTAGGGTTCCCAAGGATAAATTTGTGCGGCTTTACTCTCGGATCGAGTGTAAGGTTGAGCGTTGCGGGTTTTGGGGTTTGGGTTTTTTTTGGGGTTTTGGGTTTCTTGGGGTTTTCGTTTTTTTTTTTTTTTTTTTTTTTTTTTTTTTTTTTGGGGTTTTGGGGTTTTGGGGTTTTTGGGTTAGGGACGAGGGTTAGGGTAGCCCCGAGGTTACGTCTGCAGCAAGTGCGGGCTGGCGAAGCCGAACGGCTTGCTGTGGTCCTGCCCCCTACATGACGCGTGCCTGCGTCCGGAGTGCGCGCCGGTTCCCAAACAGGCGGTCCTAGGCATCTCGGCGGCTTGGGTCATCGACACCTTCCCAGGGCTCGCGCGAAAAGCGACCGGAATGGCGAATCCCAACTTTCACGAAATCTGTCCAGCGGTTGCCATGGGGCCGCAGGGGCTCGGCTTCGGCAAGGCTTGCCCGAGAGATGGCCGACCCGGATGCAGCGTCGTTGATGCGGTGGACGACAAGTACAGGGGCCGGGCCACTCATTTCGTGTCCTGGTGCTGGTCGTACTCCCTGGACGACTTCGTGAGTGCGCTACAGTCATGGGTTGCGAAGGAGCGGCTGAATGCCAGCGAGGTGTACTTGTGGGTGTGCTTCTTCTGCAACAACCAGCGCCTCCGCCGTGACCGGAGCAGTTCTTAAGCCTTAATCATGTGTTTGAGGACGCAACCGCGTTTTTTTTGCGCCTCCGCCCTCCGCTTGTCTGAGGTACCGCATGCTCGAATCCGGCACGCAGACCGGCTCGGATGAGCTCAAGGCCGTCTTCGAGAGTCACCTGGGCGAAGCGGGTCGCATGCTTCTGATGTTGGACAGCTTCGTCGACCCCAAGTATATCACGAGGGCATGGTGCATCTTCGAAAGCTTTGTGTCTGGGTAGGCCCTTGGGATACTTTTTCAGATCTCCCTTACTGGGCTTAAGAGATCATGAGATCTTTTCAACCCTAAGCCCTAAAGACTAAACCCTAAACCCTAGACCCCCATATTCAAGATATTTGTTGTTCAGAGTGCCTTTTAGGGCCCATCCGAGGTGTGCATCGACAAGAAGTTTGCCATGACCATCATCTTGCCAGAGAGCTCTGGGGCGAAGTTCAAGCAGACGCTGGACAGTGCAGGTGGCTAAGGGTTTCGAGTGTTTAGGGTTTAGGGTTTAGAGTTTAGGGTTTAGGGTCTTTAGGGTTTCAGGTGTTTAGGGTTTAGGGCTTTCATGATTAGAATAGGGTTTTGTGTGTGAGTGGGGGTTCCTAGAGCACGTCTTTGTAGGGGCCATAAACTAAAAATTCCCGCAGTGCAGGCGGCTGCTTGTTGAAGAAGGGGTCCTAAGCGTCCATGTACCTAGATTGGGACAGGGTTAAGGGTTTACAGTTTACGAATATGGGTGTCGGAAAAATACTATTTAATAGTTCCCTTGTGGTACCTTTTAAATTGTACCAAAAGCCCCCCCCCCCCCCCCCAAGACCCTGTTCTAACTCTTTCGGCCCCTAAAGTATGTGCTTGTTATGGACTTCTCGAATTCCCTTATGGTCCCTGTGCAAATACACTATAATCACCCCCAAAACCCTATTCTAATTCTTCAGGCTCCCATATTAGGTCTTTTTCTGTAAGCTTTCCACGTTGTCGGGCCCTTTTTGTATGCCGAGATGTCTGAGTGGTGGGGCCATGACGATGCACTCGAGTTTCCCAACGCGGTTTAGGGTTTAGGGTGTAGGGTTTGGGGTTTAGGGTTTAGGGTAAGGTTCTGTAACACAAGGCCTTCCACCCCGAACCTACCACCTTTCTGGCCATCTGCGGCAGAGCCCCAAGCCTTGGCCCGAAGCACTAAAACCCTAAAATCCCTAAACCTATAAGCCCTAGACCCTACATAAACCCTCAGCACTCAACCCAGAACCCTAACCCTATAAACCCTATAAACCCTCAGCCCTAAACCCTACTGAACCCCAAACCTTCAACCCTAAACAAACCCTAAACCGCGAAAAAACACCCAACAAGCCTTAAACAACCCTAACCCTCAGCCCGGAAAAAGCCTCAACCCTGAACCCTAAACAGGCGGCTTCAGCAAACTGCAGGAGGCTTTTGAGGCCATGGACGTCAGGTATGCGGAGGCGTCCAGCAAAGCTGATGAGGCTGTTGGGTTTAGTGTTTAGGGTTTCGGTTAGGGTTTAGGGTTTAGGGGGTTTAGGGTGTTAAGTGTGTTTAGGGTGTTTAGGGTGTGTGGTTCTTTGTCGGGTTTAGGGTTTAGGGTTTAGGGTTTAGGGTTTAGGGTTTAGGGTTTAGGGAAAGGAGTTAGGCACTTCGGTGCCCCTAGATACTTGTTGCCCTAGTGAGTTACGCCGGCGGGGTATATGGTCCCTTGTACCCTAAAACCTAAACCCCAAACCCTAGCCCAAAGCCCTAAACCCTAAACCCAAACCCCTATCACGAGCAAGCTTGAGGTGTTTAGGTTTGTCTCCAGAATGAGAGGACAAAGCTGATCCTTACAACCACGGGCTTCGACATGGTGAATGGCGCCGTCAAGAACCGCCTGCTGAAATGGCTCACGGACGTGTTCCGGAAGCATCTGCTGAGCCAGGCGGCGAAGTGACACACTTACCCAAGATTGCCTTCGCTCCTCCGCGGATTCATTGTCTAGGACCCAGAGTAGGCCCTTATTCCCTTAGTTTGGGTTAGGTTCGGTTCCCTTATATGATCCTCTTTCAACCAAAAGGATACCCTTTTCATTCCTGAGTTACTCCTGGGTCTCGTTGTGTTGGTGATTCCAGAGGACGTTAGGGTTTAGGGGCGGGGGCCTGATGTTGGCGCTTGGTGTGCATCAGTGCGCTTGCTGGAGTTTCAGCGTTAGCGTGCGGGCCTTAATGATCCTTGGTTTAGGCTCCCTTTTATAGTCCTCTTTAAACCAAAAAGGGTACTGGTGCACGAATTCGATGTACTGCTGCCCTGCCACTAAGTGCCGGGTTTCGGGTTCAGGGTTTAGGGTTCTAGGGTTTGGACCAAATTGTCCGACAAGGCTTTTTAACTGTCGACGGGCTGCTCCTCGAAGAGAGGTGCAAACTCGAGTTTTAAGTTCAAGGTGAGTATCTCCGGATTTAGGGCTTGATGGTTTAGGGGGAGATAGGGTTTAGGGTGTAGGGTTTAGGGTTTAGGGTTTAGGGTGTAGGGCTCTTGTTGGCTCTTTCTTTGGTTTGCTACGAACATGCGGAGCCTCATCTTCAAGGTGCTCAATTCTGGGAGCACAAGTTCGAGAATTTAGGGTTTAGGGTTTAGGGTTTAGGGTTTAGGGTTTAGGGATAGCACTTTCGCATCAGGGTGTATAGGGGTAGTTCTCCAAATATCTTTGGGCTCCCTATAGTACGGCATCCAGAAGGACCTCCAAAAAGGGATCAGGGTTTAGGGTTTAGGGTTTGGGGCTTCTGGTTTAGGGTTTAGGGTTCAGGTTTATAGGGTTCAGGACTTGCCATAAGACGCAAGATTCTGATGCACTCGCCGACCGGCGTCCGAAAAGCGCGCTGCGCTCAATATCTATGTAGACACCCTTGGCCCGCAGCGGACGCCCGAACTCTAAACCTTCAAAACTAAAAGCACTGAACCCTAAACCATAAACCCTAACCCCTAAAACCTAAACCCTAAACCCTCAACCCTAAACCCTAAACCCTAAACTCTACACGGCTTGGGGGATTTCCTATGCTTCGACTTTTTTTCACCCAATCCCTTCTACTGCAAGTCTCCTGTGCCGACCCTACACCATGAAGCCAAACCCTAAACCCTCAACCCTCAACCTTAAACTTTAAACCCTAAACCCTAAACCCTCAACCGTTAACGTAGGGTTTAGGGCAATGTTAGGGTTTCGGGTTTAGGGTTTAGGGTCTCGGTGTTTGTTCTGAGAAGATAGAATCGCTGGACTGCAGCTTGGACCGTTGGACTTGTAGTGCGTTAGAAGTAAGAAGGTTTGAAGTTGTTCATGATTTTATCAGGGTCTAGGGTTTAGGGTTTAGGGTTTAGGGTTTAGTGTGTTTTTATGCTGGGGTTTTATGCTGGGGTGTTGTGTTCACAACGAGGGTTGTGCGTTTGTCGATTTCTTCGGCCAACCTGTGCAACTGCAATGGAGGATGAACCGGAGCTCTTGAATCAGCTCTTGCGCATTGCTGCGATACTTTGTGTGTTGTTTCTCATCGCCACCTCGTGTTTGTGTTGCTGGTGCCGAAAAGGGCAGTCTTGCTCAGAGTCGGCGCAATGTGACACGGGGCAAGTGGAGCACCCAAGCAATACGGAGGCGGGCCTTCTGAGCGCTTGTGGCACCCTTGGCTTGAGTGTGTGACTTTGAGCATTGCTGGAACCGTTCCTGAGTTTGTTTCCCGAATCCTAGAGAAAGTAAGCGTTCCGCAGCTCTGCAGCTGTGAGGGTCTCCCTGTTGACCCAGGTCAAAACCCTAAACCCAAAAAACACCCAGGTCAAAACCCTAAACCCAAAAAAACACCCAGGTCAAAACCCTAAACCCTAAACCCTAAACCCTAAACCCGAAACCCGAAACCCTAAACCCTAAACCCTAAACCCTAAACCCTAAGCCCTAGGTCAGGGACGCAGGCGGTGGTGTCCTTTCTCCGGCTCCATGGACATCTGCCAGCCGACCGCCCAAGCGGACCTGTCCCCGAGGCCTCTCCTGAAACCTGGGCTTTGGAGTACTATACTTTAATACTTTTTTTGGTTCTGGGTTCCTATTATAGCTACTTATACCTAAAAAGTATGTATTTTTTTTGGGTCTACTCCAAAGCTAGGAAACAGCGATCGAACCTGTTCAAGTACCATGTTCCTTGGCTACTATTTGTTTAAGACCCCCCAAAAGAATAAAACATATGAGAATCCCTATTTAGGAGTTTTTAACGTTAAAAAAACCCTAAATGCTACTAGTTGCTTAAGACCCCCAAAAGAATAAAAAGAATAAGAATCCCTATATTACCCTTATGAGGAAGAACATTTTTTGGGGGGTTCTGAAGCAAGTAGTAGTTGGGAGTTACATGAACCCTACAGTAGATTGTGCTCCCTATATATACACGCGTGTGTTTCAATGGCGAGAAGTATAGGGTATATGAAATCCCAAAATGTTGAGGTCATGTTGTCCCAAGGTCAGGGCAGCTGGGTGATGGACTTACCTTGGGGCAAACAGCAGGTCGGCGCAGTTGTTGGGCGTCAAGTTGAGTGCTTGGGCCAAGTGGCCGAGCTCAAGGGTGGCACGCGCTTGCACTTCCAGTGGCCTGATGGAGCCCGACAAGAACTGCAGCTGGGTAATCCCCTCCCCCTAATATTAAACCCTCCTATAGCCTCCTAATATTAAATACCCCCCATTAGAGTATATGGGAAATTTGTGATATTAGGGGGTAGGGGGGGGTATAATTTTAGGGGGAGGGGATTAGGCTCTTGAGATATTGTTTATTTTCTCTGACTGATCCCGTTTTTGACCAGGAACATTTTCAAAAGGTTAAGGGCCATCCTAGGCAAGCTTTCGATCAGCATGTGTTGACATGGACCGTGGATACGAGCTGGCCGCAAACTCTCTGCTGGACGCGTGTCCCAGCTTGTCCGCTGGTAGCAGACTGCAGCGACATGCAGGTGCTGACTAGCGCGGACAGGCACATGTGCAGCAGCTGTGGTGAGGAGAAAGCGGGGTCGCATTGGTTCTGTTGCTCGCACAGCGCCTGCCTCTGCCCGACGTGTGCGCCCGTTCCCAAACAGGCGGTCCTAGGCATCTCGGCGGCTTGGGTCATCGACATCTTCCCAGGGCTCGCGCGAAAAGCGACCGGAATGGCGAATCCCAACTTTCACGAAATCTGTCCCGCGGTTGCCATGGGGCCGCAGGGGCTCGGCTTCGGCAAGGCTTGCCCGAGAGATGGCCGACCCGGATGCAGCGTCGTTGATGCGGTGGACGACAAGTACAGGGGCCGGGCCACTCATTTCGTGTCCTGGTGCTGGTCGTACTCCCTGGACGACTTCGTGAGTGCGCTACAGTCATGGGTTGCGAAGGAGCGGCTGAATGCCAGCGAGGTGTACTTGTGGGTGTGCTTCTTCTGCAACAACCAGCGCCTCCACCGTGACCGGAGCAGTTCTTAAGCCTTAATCATGTGTTTGAGGACGCAACCGCGTTTTTTTTTTGTTTTTTGCGCCTCCGCTTGTCTGAGGTACCGCATGCTCGAATCCGGCACGCAGACCGGCTCGGATGAGCTCAAGGCCGTCTTCGAGAGTCACCTGGGCGAAGCGGGTCGCATGCTTCTGATGTTGGACAGCTTCGTCGACCCCAAGTATATCACGAGGGCATGGTGCATCTTCGAAAGCTTTGTGTGCATAAGCAAGAGCCTCGAGATGACGATCATCCTGCCTGAGAGGTCCCGGGACAAGTTTCGGGAAACCTTGGACACCGCGGGCGGCTTCAGTAAGTTGCTGGTAGCTTTTGAGGCGATGGATGTGCGATACGCAGAGGCCTCCAGCAAGATCGACGAGGACACGTGGAGTTGTTAAGCTTCTGCTTTGCCCTCACTAGATTGAGAAAAGTGAACACCGCCAGACCAACCCTGGACCCTGCAGGTATTGGTTGTTGAAGAAACTAAACCCTAAACCCTAAACCCTAAACCCTGAATTCAAGACCAGAGGACATGATAAAGAAGCTGATACTGATCAGCTGTGGCTTTGATGTCGTGAACCAGGCGGTGAAACACCGATTGCTCAAATGGCTCACAGACATGTTCCAAGGACACTTGCTGAATCTGCGCTGCTGAGCAAAGCTGCCGCATGCTCTAAACATTATAATTCCTAAACCCTGCATGTTTCTCGCTCGTTGCAATCTGGACAACTCAGATGCGGGATGCTGGATCCTGGCCAGTCAAGAAGAGCTGGCGTCTAATTCAAGTGCTCGTACGGCGGTTCAGCGAAGTTTCGCCTACCTAGCAACTGCAAAAAAGCTGTCACGAAGCAGGGGCTCGGGCATATAATGTAGTTTGTCGGACGACCTTGACAGCTTCTAGTGCGACGTAGTATAGCTGGCTGTCCTAGTTCTTGGGATGGGAATCAGGGAACCAGGTACCCTAGAAGCTGCCGACACCAGCAGTTGGCGCGAAGTGACCACGATGTGACCACTTACTGCCAGATCTTGGATTAGGGTTTAGGGTTTAGGGTTTAGGGTTTAGGGTTTAGGGTTTAGGGCCGAAGCACAGAGGGCAGCGTACCCCTGCAACCCTCAACGCTCTCCCTTAATCTGGGGTGGACGTGGAATCGATGTTCATGTTCCATGGCCAACTAGGATGCCCAGTAGTACCCTTATTCCCTTTTTGGGGGGTTTAGGTTCCCTTGTAAACCCCTTTTAAGCAAAAACGGGCACTCTTTTTAAGCCTAGGTTACTGGGCAGCCTAGCCAAACTTATATACGCCTTGAGAGGTTTATAGGGCCCCCTTAATTGGGTCTTCTTCGGTCTCTAGCACCTGAACCCATGGCCTGAACGTTAAATTAAACAGGAAACTTAGGGTTTAGGGTTTAGGGTCAGGGTTTAAGGTTTAGGGTTTAGGGTTTAGGGTTTAGGGTTTAGGGTTTAGGGTTTAGGGTTTAGGGTTTAGGGTTTAGGGTTTAGGGTTTAGGGTTCAGGGCACCCTAAACCCTAGGCCCACCTAGATATCCCTTGATACCAACTTCCATTTTCTCGTACCCTAAACCGAAGGTAAGTACACATAAAAAGGGGTAGGGCCCTAGGCCAAAACGCCTAAGCCCCGAAGTCTTTCAAGCCCTTTTGCTTAACCCCTGAACCCTGAAACCTTAACCCTTGAACTCCTAAATCCTGCAGGACCCGCCGAACCCCCAGCTTCCAGCATGGGTCTAGGGTTTATGGTTTAGGGTTTAGGGTTTAAGGTGTTGGGTTCAGGGTTTAGGGTTTAGGTTTTAGGGTGATTGTGCCCAAACCCTCAACCCTGAACCCTACACCCTACACCCTAAACCCTAAACCCTCAACCCTAAACCCTAAACCCTAAAATCGGAAAGGCTGGTGCCCGCCACATACCACACCGGCCCCAGGCATTGGCCAAGGCCTGGGTTTAGGGTTTAGGGTTTAGGGTTTAGGGTTTAGGGTTTAGGGTTTAGGGTTTCTTTGACGTCCCCCAAACCTTACCCTCAACCCTAATTCCTCTGCCCGCAGCCTTAAGCTTTCTACAGGACGCTAAGCCTAAGCCCCAAGCCCGAAGCCCCAAACCCCAAGCCACAACCATAAACCCTAAACCCTAAACCCTAAACCCCAAACCCTAAACCCCAAACCCTAAGCCCTAAGCCCTAAACCCTAAACCCTAAACCCTAAACCCTAAACCCTAAACCCTAAACCCTAAACCCTAAACCCTAAACCGTTCGGGGCTTGAAGGTTGGACTTGGAGTTGGCAAAAAGTCGAAGCCTCTGGGGCATCGAGTTCTGAGGCCCTCAATGCTAAAACCGGGGTTTAGGGTTTAGGGTTTAGGGTTTAGGCTTTAGGGTTTAGGGTTTAGGGTTTAGGGTTTAGGGTTTCCTAAGCCCTAAACCCTAAACCCTACACCCTGAACCCCCTAGAGCTCTTAACAACCTTAAGCCCTTGACCCCTGAACTCTGAATCCCTTGAACCATTTAAACTCCCTTAAGCCCTTACACGCCGTAAACTCCCTGACTCCTCAAACCCCAAAATATTCTTAAGCAACCGTCAGCCCGAAACCCGTAAACCCTAACCCCTAAACTCTTCTAGCCAGGCTTCAAAGCAGGCGTCAGTGAGAGCACCGGTTTAGGGTTTAGGGTTTAGGGCTCAGACGTCGAAGAAGGCAGGTTGTATATAGGAGTTGGGGTGTAGAGTTTAGGCCTATGGGGTTGTTGGAAGGGCTAACAAGGAGGGACCCTAAACCCTAACCCTAAACCCTAAACCCTCAACCCTAAACCCTCAACCCTAAACCCTTAATCTTATTCCCGTGCACTTATGTAGTCCCTATAGCGCCTAAATACCCTCCAAATAACTTCTAAGGTCCCTGAAAAGGGTCCCTCCTTTAGTCCCTTGAGGTTCAGGGTTCAGGGTTCAGGGTTCAGGGTTTAGGGTTTAGGGTTTAGGGTTTAGGGTTTCGGGTTTAGGGTTTACGTGAATTGTGCACGCTGAGCAAAAGGTGCTGTGCCTCAGGTCCTGCTCTATCAACCTGACCATAGCCTTAAACCCTAAACCCTAAACCCTAAAAACTTAAACCCTAAACCCTAAATCCTAAACCCTAAACCCTAAACCCGGAACCCGAAACCCTAAACCCTAAACCCTAAACCCTAAACCCTAAACCCTAAACCCTAAACCCTAAACCCTAAACCCTAAACCCTAAACCTCAGCCTGAAACCCCAAAAGCCCTAGACCCTCCACTTACGATCCCTCATCCCCTTAACGTTAACGTTAGTGTTCAGGCTTTCCGAACATAAGTGTACCCTTTTGGGGGTTCCGACAAGCCCGATTGTGTGGGTTGTTACTGCCTGCAGTAAATTTGAGGGACGCCTTTTTGGGGTGAAGTACTCATTTAAGGTTTTCAGGGCCGAGGGCCCTGAAAGCTTACAGTACCTCGCCGCGCGCCTGAACCACCGAGACCCTAAACCTATGAGTCCAATTTCCATCCTCAGAAAAGAAGTGGGCCCCCATTGATTAAACCACAAGCGCCCCAGAACCCTACGCCAAACCCTAAACCCTAAACCCTCAACCCTGAACCCTGAACCCTAAACCCTGAACCCTAAACCCTGAACCCTAAACATTCCTGAGACTAAGGCTTAGGGTGTCTCGGTTTTAGGGTTTTTCTGGTTTTAGGGTTCTTATGGTTTTAGGGTTTGGGGGTAGGGCTTGACCCCGTAATGTCCCCCGCAATACTACACCGACTACACCCTCCCCATATGGCTTCAGGGTTTAGGGGTTTGGGGTTTAGGCCTTGGGGTTTTGGGGTAAGGGTTTACTAGCATTGCCCAGCTGTATCCTCTTTCGTTTTTCTAGGGGTTGCTCCCAGGAAATCGAGCACCGGTGTTGTGCCTAAGGTCCCTAATTATGTTAGTGGCAGGGTATAAGTTTCGCAGTTTGGGAGAACCCTAAACCCTAAACCCTAAACCCTAAACCCTAAACCCTAAACCCTAAACCCTAAACCCTAAACCCTAAACCCTAAACCCTAAACCCAGAGTTTCAATATTTGGCTGCGTGGATGAGAGTCATCGGCTGTGCGGGGAAATCAGAGTGTGGGAAGACCCAGCATCAGAATTGTCAGGGTTGCTGAAGCCCTACTTAAGGCCGGAACCTTAAACCCTTTTCCCAAAACCCGAAACCCGAAACCCTAAACCCTAAACCTTAAACCCCGAAACCCTTAATCCTTCCAGCTTCGGATTTTGGGGAAAGTCCGTGGGCCGCGCTGCCGCCGACGTAGCAGAGCAAGCGTATTCCCATGCGCGCGCGGGAAGAGCCGCCAACAAACTCTACGTCCAAAGCCCTGAAACAGCCTGCCCTTAAGACCCCCTAGCCCTAAGCTCTAAAACCCCTCAAGCCTAGGGCCCAAACCCGAAACCCTGAAGCCTAAACCCTAAACCCTGTTTTGGGGGGGGGCCAGAGAGTCATGGCTCGCGTCTTGGCATTCTTCGGCCTGGCTGCTGCTTAAGAAGGACGGCGTTTTGATGCCAGCTCGAAGGGTTTAGAGGCCCGCCGGTCGAGACGGTTTAGGGTTTAGGGTTTAGGGTTTAGGGTTTAGGGTTCAGGGTTCAGGGTTTAGGGTTCCGTGCGCGGGTTGCCCCGGACGGCTTCAGGGTTTTGAACTAGGTTGGCTGTCGGGATATGTTGCGTTTTTCCCTGTTTGGGTTTTTTTTTGTCAGGGACCCTGTGTACAAATATGTTTCAAAGGTTTTAGCGGCCAACCCAGAGAATCCTAAAGCCTAAGCTCAAAATCCAACACCCTGAGCCCTAAACCCTAAATCCTAAACCCCAACCCTAAAACCCCAAACCCTAAACCCTAAACTTCCCTGAAGACTGCGAGGAGCCCATGACGGTTCCCGACTGCATCGAAGAAGTCAACAAGAGCGCCGCTTGCTTCAGATGCAGCCACAACATGTTCAGGGTTTCGGGTTTAGGGTTTCAGGGTTCAGGGTTTAGGGTTTAGGGTTTCGGGTTTCGGGGCCCCAAACCCTAAATCCCAAACCCCAAACCCCAAACCCCAAACCCCAACCCCAAACCCCACACCCTAAGCCCTAAGCCCTAAACCCCAAACCCTAAACCCTAAAACCTAGACCCTAAACCCTAAACCCTAAACCCTAAACCCTGAACCCTAAACCCTAAACCCTAAACCCTAAACCCTAAACCCTAGACCCTAGACCCTAAACCCTAAACCTTATCGGCTCTGTGGACGTTCAGGGCTCAGGGCTTCGGATTTTCTTTTGAAGGCCCGAAGTGCCCAAGAGAAGGTTTAGGGTTTAGGGTTTAGGGGTTTAGGGTTTAGGGTTGAGGGTTAGGGTTTCTGGGAGGCCCCGAGATTCGCCTCACTACCGCTTGAGGGTTTAGGGTTTAGGGTGTAGGGTTTGGGCTTGCTAAGGTTTAGAGTTCTAAGTTTCTAAGGTTTAGGGTTTAGGGTTTGGGGTCTAGGGTTTAGGGTTTGGGGTTTTGGGGTTTAGGGTGCTTTGGGGTCGGCTAGCCCGCTCAGGAATGGATCTATTCGCATGTGTATCCTGATGCCCGAAGACCAGGTGGGCGGATCCAGCGATGCGCATGGGGATTGAGGGTTTTGGGTTCAG